TCATTTTTTTTTTTTTTTTTTGTATTTCGATGGAACGATGGATAGGGGGTTGGAAACGGTCGAATAACGCGGAAGATGCTCGGAGAATAATACAGAAATAAGCTTAGTTCGGGGATAATGCTCGGCGAAATATTTTTCTGCCAAAGTTCGTAGGGGTAAAAATTTGGTAGAGTCAGTAGGGCATATCCCTGTTTCTCTATGATAAGAACAGTGACGTTGTACGGTCAATGGAGTATTAAATTCGGGTTATCCCCATGACATTTCACGATCAATCACCTGAACATGCTACTTTTCCCCTCTTAACTTAAAGTTTTAAAACTTGCCCGATTTAATATCGAAATTTTCAAAAAAGAAAAAAAAAAGAAATTGTTTATCGTACAAATTAAAATACCGAAAAAATTTGAAATAAAAAAATATGCAAAACACGAAAAACGTTACGAGTATAATTAGTCGTAAACTTTTGCGTGTGTTTGTGGTTAAAAAAAAATTAATTCCTTTCCTGCATCATGGATTCACAATGGCATGAAAAGAACAAATCTCATTTTTATAAATTTCACCCTCGTAAAATTTCGCTTTGAAGAACCGACGAGTCGAAAACGGTAGTCGTAAAACGACTCGATCCACGAATTCCGTTGACATCCGACGAATACCGAACGAAATCGGGACACGAGGGCGTGTTACCGTTTTCGAAAACGCTTCTTAAATCCACGTAAACGATGCAGCTTTCCGGGCAATGGACGATGCACCTGGCAGAGACGATACGCGCTGCAAAATCTTTCTCTTTCGTTTTTTATCGCGATCGAGATTACCTTGCCTCGATCGAGGCCGACACCCGTGTGTTTCATCTCGATTACGACGAATAAAAACGATCATTAACCCCACCTGATGCACGATATTGTTTCTTATGAAAGTAATTCGTAATTCTAGGAATTGATATTTTTTTCAAGAAAGATTTATCTTTGGATTTTGATGGAAGAAATGAAATCGTTGAATGGTATCTGTTTTCTTAAAAATAGTTGGGAAATTTATACTCGCCGATCAAAAATATCTTGATACCTCAATAAATTCGTGAGGCTTGACAAAAATTTAATCTTTGATTTTACTGATCCAAAGAAATTGCTACACGTGACATATCCATTGTATTCTATATACATATGAATTTGAAGCAAAGATTTTGAATTTAAGTATATTTATACATGTATACGATCATTTTCATGATTGATTGTATATTATGTTAAAATCTTTGCGTCTTTCGATAAAAATTCCTTTCGCATAAATTTTCTCACAACGAGCAGCCAAAGATCAAAGACTTTCCGTACGAATTTTCATACCGAATTTTTTGTCATCAAAGCTTCTAAAGCCATACAAGTTATCGAGCTTGGAAAAAAATCAAAGCCATTCGAATTTGTGCCCATCGCAATTTTCCAACCTTGTATACCGAACATGTTCGCGAATTTTCCGATCTTTTCACAACCTTTTCCGTAACCGGAGCTCAAATCAAAGCGTTCACAGAGCTTTCAGAAGCGCGGGGCTTTTCGAACCGAGCCGCAAGCAGCTTAACGTCGAGTTGTTTCGACCCCCCGGATCGATAGTACCGAGTCCACGAGCGAAGAAACACAGGAGCCATTAAGCGACTAACACCTTTGAACAGTTTTTCTCATGAAAATCACGGCCGACCGTTCGTTTTCTTTCTCTGCGAATCCCCAGACGCGAGAGAACGAACGATCTCATCCGCTTCCGCTAATATATCGTGGAAATAATCGGGTTGAATTATCTTTCGCGTGTTTTTCTGCGAGATTTGTCACATCTGTAACGCAGTGTTTTTCAACGCGTAAGTCTAAAAAATTTTATAATGAAAGTTTTCGATATTTATCATTACGTACGTGTAGAAAATTTTGTGATAAATATTTTTAACAGTTGTTTACTCGAGCAGCGTGAAGGTTTATGCAAATTGAGATTTTTGAATGCAATTAGAGAAATGGAAGTTGAATGGGGATCTGTTTAACTGTTTAAATATGATAATGATAATAGTTTAGGTTTGAATATTTTTGTGTCTTTTTTACATATTACATGTATTTTGAGCATTTAAATTTTCTACTAATGCATAAAAAAATTCTACGTATGAGTGTTAAATATTTTATAAGATTTTTAATATTTTCAACCGGTGTACGTAAATAAACGATTCGTATTCATAAGTTCAAATTCTACGTGTTGAAACGCAAGCCTTTAAATATATTGAATAATTAAACAAATAGATTCGAATGTTTTATGAATTCTTTTGATGCAAATGTATGTTTTGCGAGTATCACAGTATCACGTATCTCCAATATATCCAATATATGTATTTATATATAAGTAAGTAAATTCTTGAATAATACAAGTACTCTTTACAGAGTTCGAAATCGAGTTTTTAGATACAACTCGAGTATTTTGTAAATACAGGAGATGAAACACTGCCTCTTACATTACCCCTTGAAGTGAAACTTTCGGTGAGTACATATTGAAATGGATCCCTTGTATTTTAATGAAAAAACACGCCGGATATTTCGTGTTACGTTAATAACAAGAGCACTGAAATTATATCTCATTCATAAAAGAATAAGATTTTTTATGAAATTTTTTATTGCAAGTAATTAAAATTCGTATGCTGAGTTAAAAGATTCAATTCTTAAAATTAGAAAAAGAATAAAAGAAATTTAAAAAATATAATAGAATACATAATTAAAAAAAAAAAAGACATATCTAAATTTATTTTTTCCTGCAATTAATTATAAAAATAATTAAAACATTGCTCTGATTATTAAAATATTAGCGAGTAACAGAAGAATTAAAGATTAAAATAAATATAAAAATGTAAAAGAAAACAAAAAAAAAATTGCATAAATATAGTTTATTTTATCTTCTCTACCATTTACTCGGTTACAAAATAATTAGAATATCGTTACATTTGAAACTTTTGAACAACTATTACCACTTTTATTCGTGTAAATTCGCTGTATGAAAACTCGTGTTTACATACATAGGCAAAAAAGTTGAAACGATCAATGAGCAATCGAAGTCAAGCGGAAAGGGTGGAAAAAAGATCCAGGGGGAAAGTTTTAATTGGCAGCAACGAATTCAGACTCGATACGGATATACTCGCAGGAACTCACGCAACGGCTGGACACGTAACAAAATATCGTTTGCCTGGGAAACCGCGGAGATATCGAATTTCCGCAGAAATAATATGAGCCGGGGCAAACTGTGGCCCCGTGTTATTATTGAATTATAAACCCGCTTTTCCTCCACGCCACGTACAATATTGCGGTACCGTGCAAGGTAATCGAATAATATAAACCAAGAATAATTATTATTATTATCGTTTTGATTTTTCGACGGAAACTAGAATCGAAACGTTATTGAAAGGAAAACTATCTTGCGCGATACGCATCTATCATTCGATCACCATCTAGTAATTTAGCCCGTGTAATTTAACTCCTCCAACGTTGCCTCAAGTTTCGATAATTACGTTGAATCTTGTCTCTTGTATTGTAGAATCGAAAACCTGACTGACGTATCAACCTGCTCGCAATTAACTCATTCTTGCATAATCATGTTGGCAAGTAAATCTGTCTTATTCAAGATGGATACGTAGTAGTTAATGATAACGATGATGAGTGTGATTTGAACAATTTAAACGTAAAAGCAAGAGATCTAACTTGAGATTCGATCTTGAAACTTTAATCAGAAATCAAAAACGTCCTCTTAATTACTCGTCAATGGGGATTCGTATCAATGGACATTTTTATAGAAAATTAAAAAGAAAATCTAATAATACGCGAAAGAGACATAAAATATACAAAACAAGCATACATATTACAATTGTTAAGCCGTGAAATGTATCTTTATTTCAGTACCATTTTCACAGTTGCGTTCTAATAAAAAATTTTAACTCGCACAAACATTCTCAATCTGCTCGTCAATCCGAGCGATATCTTCAAAAATCGTTTCCGTTTGAATAAAATTTTCAAAGATATACGTTATAGAAGAACAGGAGAGGAATACGAACGGTTGAAAAGGGAAGTGAACTAGGCAGGAGCGCGGGCATAGATGTAAACGGGGTTCCTTGGACCGCCTGGTTCCGGGCTATTAGCCGTCGAAAAAAGGGGGACATTTATAATAAAAAGCCATAAACCACAGAGCCGAGGGGTTGGCGAAATGCCGTAGCAATTGGTAGGATGGCGGAAGCCAACCTGTAGTGGGGTTCCATAGATGCACAATGGCGGAGGGGCGATTTCGAGGCCTAGGCCTGCGAAGTGGTGACACAGGTATAATAATTCGGAATCGGTCGGTTGGCCTCGACATCGGTTAAGTGGCCACAGATGGCTGAATACGCCACCTCGATGCATTTACAGGCCAAATGATTCACGCTGCAGAGAAGATTCGACGGACTTAATTAAGCGGAACCACTTGCGTCCACGCGATCGGCGGATGATAGTCGCTTCCGGTTTGCGGCCAACCGCCTCTGGGGGAACGTCTCTTTCCAGATGGACACGTGTTATTACGTGTCCTGTGGTTGACAGTTGATTTTTTGATGTCTTTCTTTGCGTCATAAATAGGTAAATCGACGGAGGGTTGGGAAGTGCGAAGAACATATGACAGTAGCATATGGGAATATCGAATGATTAGAGTGTTGAAAATCTGATCCTTAAATAGAAAGTCGGAAAAATGTGATAATGTTAAAGATCTAGGAAATTCGATTCTTGAATTTTCAAGATTTAATATAGAATAAAAAAAGAAAAGAGTTTGATAAAAGTTTGGAAAAATTGGGACGAATTAAAAATAATTGGATAAACATATGTTCGTGTTATTTTGGACAAGTTTAATAAAAAGTCAAATCGATAAATTAAAAAGAACGGAGTATCCATTATTGGAAAATTAATAGAGAAAGGATGGGCTCGCTTTATGCAAATCACGTGATGTTATTGGGGAGGATTATTTCGTTGTAAATGCGTTATAATGCGCTTTGTTTAAAACGAGAAGCTATCAATACATATTTCCGGAAATCCGTTGTACAGGTATGGATACCAGCGATAATTCTAAAGAGTATAAGCTCTCCCTAACCTCCCTATCGATCAATTAAACTTAAATAATCGGCTCTCTACATTTCGGTTAATAAGAATTTAATAGTCCATGAAATCGATGGAATAGAACAATTCTCTCTTTTAATTCACTTTCTTCGACGATACATTACTAACGGTAGTCGCGTTAAATCGAGTAATTCGAGATTTTTCCCAATAATTTGGGATAGAAAGAAAAAAAAAGCTGACGAATTGCACGGAAAGAAAGAAAATGGACGGATGTAAAAAAGAGAAAGGTAACGTTGGTGAGCGAAAATCGGGGAAAAAATAACAACGATTCGATCTGACAGCTCTGCAACGAGTTAAATAAATATTCATAAGCTCCTGACTGTCGAATAAATTGCGCGTAAACAGTCAAGAGTGTTCCCACGATATGGAAAACTCGCAGTTCGATCTTTCGTGACCATTTTCCAAACAATCTGCACCATACTCGGATAGTTTTGTTTCCAAAATACGTTTCCTGTATCGATTTTGATCTTTCTTTCGACTCTTTAATTCTTTAATCAAAGAAAAATTTATTTAGAAGAGGATTGATAAATATTTCAAAATTTTATTAGATTTTGATTACAATAAATATGAATCAACTTGCGATAAAGAGTAAAAAGAAAGAATAAGAGTAGATAAAATTCCAAAAAGATTTTATATTAAAATCTAATTTTTTTCTAACTCTTTTATTAATCAATGATTAATCGTAAGATAGAATTTTAATTAATCTATAAATTCCATTTCTAAATAATAAAAAATAAAGAGGATCGTTCATCAAATATTAACTTATCAAAGGATACAAAGAAAAATATGAAGCATTTCGAGAAACACTCGACGGATACAATTGCATCGACACATCGTTGAAATATCTGAAAAATAATTACGTTGAAAGAACGTCGATGGAAGGCGACGAGGGGATGGTATAGAAAGTGGCGTACACGATTCCTCGTTTTCGACGATAATAACCGTGTAAAGGGACGCAACTGACCATTCACCGTTTTATTTCCACTTATCACGTTATCTCCTTTCCCATTACACGTTCTTTCCACGCCACGTCCTATTGTTATTGTCGCTACTTAACGCCACGTCCACGGTAGTCACTCGCAGCTATTCGCTTCCGCTATTTTGCCTCCCGGTTCCGGCTGATATTGCGGCTCCTATTGGTCGCAAAATTCGATGTCGTTCGTGCTCAATTGCGTGCACCCTTTCACTCCTCCTTCGTTAATCCCTGTACTTCAATCCCTCCGACCCTGATCGAGAATTTTTCGGCCATTTCACTCGAACGCTTCGATCTCGATTATTCTTGGGCGAATAGAAGGGAATAATCGAAATCTGGAGGAAAGCTGAAACTTCTTTTCCATTATTCTTTTTATTATTCCCCATATATAGAACAAATATCAAGTATTTATTTTAGGAAATTCTAAAGTTTGAAATTTTCTAGGAAAAGAACTGGTAAGATGAAAGTTTTATTTTCTAATTTATTTTACATATATGATGAATGAAAATACTCGATAATAATTATCACAGAAATTCATTATTATAAAAGGCACGTACATCTTATAAGTTCCCAAAAAGTTTCACAATGTATCATCGATGTAAAAAGTTGTTCCAGAAATGGGACAAGTATCTCGATTCGATACAATTTCATATTAATTTCCCGTGTAAATGTTCCCTTTTAAAGCCCCATTCAAGTGTACGGGACACGTTCGACCGATCCCATACAAAGATAAAAATTAATACGTCCATTAAACGAATGGAATTCGAACGATCGAGGAAAAATGCACTTCGATTCGAAATTCTTTGAAAATCTCGTCGTGAGATCGGTCGGAGATCATTCATGTACGATTTTTGCGGGAGAAAGGCCGCTTATCCCTCCCTCCCGAGAAGCGTCTTCCTCCCCCATTTACGTGTCACCGATTCGCATCGCATCAAATTGCGGCGATTCGTTCCGCACATGTGTCCAGATCCAATGTCGTCCCCTTCACCGTGAAAGCTACTTAACGGGATGATCGATATCCTTCCGATTCAATCCGTGAAACGCGATACATCATGGCGGGGATTCGCCACGCGAGAAGAAGTTAATCTGTCACGAAACGCACGGATTCGTCCCATACACGATAACATACACACGTATACATTAATTGTATTAATTACAATTTTCGAATGGTGTGCGATGGATTCTGTGTGTTTTCCCGCCCGGCTATGAATCTTTGAAACGAGACAGGAAACTAATTAACCAGTGGAAACTTGCCTCGGCGACTGAATGAATAAATTAAAAGAACGGAAGACGGTTTTTGCGTTTCAACGGCTCTCCTGTTTTTCGGTTCAGGTTTATTAGACGGATCGACGTGGGTCCATCGAAGATGGGGCCGATGACGATGGCCGATGGAAAGAAGAAAGCGTATCACGCCGTGGTGAAAATAATTCACGTCCCGTGGGGGCCCTTCGCTGAAATTACCAGCCTGGCCGAAGTATTAAACTTGTTAAGATATTTAGAGCCCTATGGAGATTCGCCGTGAATTACGGCGGTAAACGAGCGAAATTTCCAAGGCGTCGTCACCGTAGGTGCTTGATAAAAACTCTGAGGCCGAGGGCCGCGAGAGTTCCGCGAAAAATTGCGCCGACATTGCCATCGAAAATCCCCTGTTTCGTTATTTAGGGTGAAACTGGTTCGAAGGTATGGGGAAAAAAATGGTAAAATTTATCGAAGAATAAAGATGAAAGTTGGGAAGAGTCGTCCTTTTTTTCTTTTATGGATTTTTATATAAAGTGGCGTGTACTCGAGGGTACGAAGAGTTTTGATGATTTCAGATGGATTTGGATAAATATAATAGAATACAAACGACGATAGGGAAGTTGATGGAGTGGCTTCAGCTGTTCGAAATGGGACTTTTCAAGGAAATTTTATTCCTCGAGTTGTAAGGAGGATTATTGTGAGCAAGAAAAGGAAGAAATTATCATAACACGAACAAGAGTGAGATCTCCATTTCTGAGATTTAAATAATTCTTTCTTGAAAAATGATCGTCGAAAATATATCTTATAGAAGGTTATATTTTATCATGATATCGAGATGAGGAATATTTTTCTACGTGTAGATACATCACTACGAAAATTGGAAAAGGAACCATTGAAGAATGTTGCATCAAGATCACTCGAGTGGAAAATAAAAAAGCATTTGTTGGATGTTGACCACGAGAGTGAGATGTCTCTCTGTATTTGAACGAACTACAATGTTTCAAAAGAAATAAACGATTGGATTATAACGTTATGATGAAATTAAATGGGTTTTTAAAGATAACGATACATATTTAATACACAGGATATAATTAAAAAGTATGTATACTCGACATAACCGCGAGTTTATAATGCTGCATAAGCCAGCTTAGAGTAAACTTTATCAGAGTAAAATTAATCATATAATGTTTAACTCTCGTCTCTTGTATCCATAAAGTGAATTATTAGTTGTATCGGCCGAATAAAATTCATTTTAAATCCATTCTAAGCAGAATGAAACTCGTCGCAAGAATCGAGTCTAATCGAAGAATCGAATTTTTCGTTACACTTGTTAACTTCGAAAAATAAATTTATTTCGTCATATAGATACATCGAAGAAGTAAAAAAATAAGCAAAGATGGAAACGTGGTATCCGTACATTTCCACATCTGTTCTGATTATTCGGAAACGGCATCCAACGATTTCCCCTCGAAACGGAAGTAATGGAAATAGAAATGGAGGATCGAGCCAGCGGGGTTGAATATGTATTCATTTTTACCTACCAATATAGCATATCGTAGAGAATATTTTGTTACACGTTGGTATCTTTTCGTTATTGGAGTATCGGAGAAACGAGGATGGGAAAGGAGTAAAAAAAAAAAAAAAAAAAAAAAAGGAAAGAAAGAAAGGAAAGAAAAACAAGAAATTGAATATTATTTAATAACACGCGGAGTTAACAACAGAGATAAAAACGACTCGCTGTAGGGAAACGGCATCGCGGAGTAGTCGCGATCCTTTTCTTTTTTTCTTTTTTTTTTTTTTTTTCCTTTGATTTTTATCCTATCCTTTCCGCGTTTCCTTTCGCGCGTCCGCTTATGGGCAAATGGCGGGAACGAAGCAATAAGAGTCGAACGAGGAGAGGCAAATTGGAAAATTTAATGGCGTATCGAGAAAGATGGAACGGATGATACGAGCATCCTGGAAATCCCGTTACGCGAAATATTCCCTCGCGTTTGTCTCTTTCTGTTAGCGAGAAGAAAAAAAAAGAGATAATCACGAGAAATTGAAAAAAAAAAAAAAAAGAAAGAATGGTACGACGTGTACGTTTGAGATCAAAGAGAATATTGCTATATTAAAAAACACGGAGGAACGATATGTTTTATAGCGTGGCAAATAAAGGAAGCGAAACAAAAGAAAAAAACTTTTTGGAAAATATTTCGCGTGCAATGGAATGCAAATGATTTTTTTTTTTATTGTCCTGAATAAATGCCATTCAGTTATTCCGTTTCACAATAATAAAATAATATTATACCATATTTTTTTCTATTTATTAAAAGAAAAAATGATATTATTATATTATAAAAGTAAATTTTTACGCTTTAATTAAATAAATAAATTATTGTAACTTGTTTCGTGATTTGTCTGACAAATCGGTGCTTTTCCCGTGTAATAAAAAAATGTTAATTACACGAACGTATCGATCCTTAAACATAATTAATTATAACATAATTAACTAAAACGAACATGTTAAAGATAAATTTTTTTTTTAATTTTTCCATAAGAGATAACTGAGACAGCATATCCTATAAAATTATACATCCAAGATATTATTACGATTATTACTACATCACGAAGTTACATCCGACAGGAAAAAAAAATACCTTCAACCACTACTACCACTTACCATTTCAAAGAGTATATCAACATCGTTCCTTAAACAAAGTCTCCAACTTTCCTCCCGGAGCAAGTGCTACTCCGCGCGTACACACGCATCGTTTTGACGAGCATTTCCTCCCCTGGGTTAAAAGCTGGCGTTTCACGAGTACATCGCGTAGCGGAGGATGGGTCACCTGATATCGTGCGTCAGACGTACGGACAATGGGGAATGGTTTAAAAGAGGCAAGGCAGCCAAGAAACGAAACGCCCGTGGAGAAAGAGAAAGCGGGGAAACCGCACGGGTCGCGCGGGTAAGTTTCTAACGAGAAGCATTAGCGGAGTGGACGGAGGCGACATCAAATATGTAGATAGCGCTACGGGGAATTTCTCCGGAGAACAAAGTTGCTGCAACGTAACCCCGGACACGGAAACAGAAGGAGGTGAATCGGGAGCGAGGGGGATGAGGAAACAAGAGTCGCGCGGAGAAAGAGAGAGAGAGAGGAAGGAAATGGTTCTTGGCTCGTCCTTGGGAGGCAGCTCGCGGCACCAGACTCCCTTGTGGTGCGAGTCCAACCCTTCGTACGTCGGATAATAATGGGAAAGGCTTCCAACACCCCCCTTGCGCCCAAGCACGAATTAAGTCTGCGGAAACGACGCCGCGTCTGGAATTGATTAACCTTCGCGTCGTGCCTTCACGCGCGGAATTCGTTCCAATGCCTGTGACGTTGAAGAAACGATGGATTATGTGGTTATTTGGAATATATATATGGAATATATTGATTTTGGAAAGAAAAAGCTTATTAACAAGCTTGTTATTATTCGAGATGTTATAATTAATTTTTGGAAGATAGAACAACGTGATTGTTATTTTTCATAAGTTAAAAAAAAATCTATCGTTAAATGGTGGTTTGATTCGATTTGAATGTTACAAATTCGGGGGATAACATGGAATAAATTTTGAAATTCAATCAGATCGTTTATAATTTTTTGTTGTTTCGACCTCTTTTTCGTCGCCGCTTCCGATAATTTTATCGGGCGACGTAACGAGATGATGCGCAGACACAAAAATGATCCGTGTAACGTTATTCGCGTGTACGGTTACGTAAAAAGCACGGAACCATTCCGATTTTGTTCAATCGTTTATAAAGCGAGGGGGCCGATTTACCGTAA